GCCTTGGCAGCGGCAGCTCCCCAGTGCGCGGGGTGTCCCTGCCTGGGATGCTCGCTGGAGCAGCGATGCTGCAGACCCTTTGGCATTTTCTGTCTAGCTTCCTTCCCAGGGCCGTGTGCCAAGGTCCTGCAGATGAAAAAGAGGATGAGGCCAGAAACACCACCTCACTTCCAGGCCCCGGGGAGAAAGGGCCAAAGATGTTGGGGAAGCCACAGGACAGAGGGACTGATCCCACTGAAAGGAGACCAACTATCCTACTGGTGGTTGGACCCGCAGAGCATTTTCCAAAGGTAACGGGATATCCAGGGGCCTGAGGAGGGGTTGGCGCACATGGCAGCGCAGTGTGGGGTCTGCCGGGAGCAGGGGTGCTGCAGGTGGAGTGTGTGTGTGTGTTTGGGGTGGGGGGAGAGGAGCAGGGTACGATGCGTGTGCTTGCCAGAAAGGAAATATGGGGGGACAAGGGGAATGACTGTGAATATCTGGGGACAAGGGGAATGACTGTGAAGAGACGAGGTGATCTAACCTTCCAGACATGATGTTCAAAAAGGGGTAGTGGGGAATACGGGGGTCTTGAAGGATCCTGGGCAACTTCTAAGAAGCATGACTGAGAGGGCAGGGAATGATAATGCAGGTTAGTGGCGAGTCCCACCCCTGCACTAGAGACCGGCAGAGGATCAAATAGATCATAAAATGAGAGTCAGTGTCTGGTAATTTGGCAAGCCTCTGGAAAAGCCAGCTTGTTTTGAGCAAATGAGTAACTGGCTGTTTTATTTGAATGGCACAGCCCGGAAGAGAGTAAAGCCTGTCCCTGGGGAGCGGGTGGCAAAAGGGAGAGACCAAAATCTGTGTGAGGATGGGAACTTCCCCCGGGGGTGGGAGAGTGGGGAGGTGGTGGGATGCGCACAATTGGCAGAGAATGAAGGGCGAGGCTTTGTCTAGGGGGAGGTGAACAAAAGCTGCTTCATTTAGTGCCTGGGCCCCATGCACAGTGCTGGCCGACCGCAATTCTGGTTTATTTTTTGCTGGGGATGGATTGCCGTCCTTCTCTCCTGAGGATGGTGCAGTCAACTCTGACTCCATGTGGTTTAAGAGCAAGGGTGTGACCTGGGATTAAAGGAGAAGCAGCCGGGCATAACCCCTGCGAGTGCTGGGAGCCTGGGATAATGCTGAGGGGTTGGAGCAGGGGTAGGGGTGCATGACTTACAGGAGCCAGCTGATCTGACAGGGAATCGGGCATGGTTGTTGCCGTAAGCTTTCTCTGTAAAATGGGGGACAAATAGGTTTTAAGTCGTGGGGGGGGATTAGTATCTGTTCTGCTGCTGGTTTGAATGGAAACAGGCAGGGTGGCATTTCACATTCCGGGGAGCAGAAGCCACTCCCTGCTTTGATCAGACTGAAAAATCTGCAGGGACTTTTGCCTTCATCCCTATCGTTAGCGGTTAGCACTGTGCTTCCTCTCCGAAAAAGAGGAGTGTGCGCACTTTGAGAAGAGGAGGACTTCTGTGCGCAGAGGTTGACGAAGGACAGAAGCTCAGAACTGAAGGAGGTTGTGATGAAAACCTTGAAGGTGTGGGGCTGAAAATCTCAGGTGCCTTCCAGGGAACAATAGTCCCTCAGTCAGGGAGAGTCCATCTGTTCACACCTGCAAATGAAGCTTTCTCCGAAAGCTGATACCAATCTCCTTTTCCCTGTCACCCTGACAAATTTTGCTGCATAGGAACCCTAAAATTGGCTAATGGAGAAATACCTGGAGGATAAGCATGTGCTAAAATGGAGTTACTGCAGCTTAGGAAGTAACTGCCCATCTGCCAGGAGGTTGTGACCTTGTAATTTTAGACTGCCCTGATTGTAAAGTAAAAGGCAGCGTAAAGCTCTTCTGTTGAGGATTATGCAGATAGGTTTTACCTTGCGGTTCAGGCCGGCTCACACTGCACCCAGCCATCGCGGCTGGGCTGAGGGACAGTAACTTGTTAAGCTGCAATGACTTGTTTGTGCTGGATCAGATATCTGTGTTTTAATTACTTGTCTGAAGGAGAAGTGTTGCAGAAAGTCTCGTACAGCCTTAGGGATAGATTATAAACCACTGTGAACAAACAGTATTATTTGGCGTTTAAAGAAAATGTCGGGGACACACACGGCTCTTATTCTCTTTCTTTGCCTGTCTGTGACCTTGGGTATGTCGCTTTGTTTTGTAAAAACACCTGTAACGAGCTCTCTGCTAAAACCACCCGAAATACCTGATACTGGGGTTACTGTCAGGAATTGACCTGTGTTGATGTACTTGACCAGAAAGTGCTTCCTAGCTTTGGCTCTGCAGTCTTTGCCATTGTCATGTTTCTGCTCAGATCCTTGCTTGAAGGTGATTTCAACACGAGGCTGTTTCTGCAAATGTGGGAGAAAATGCTGATTGCGGCTGGGATGTGTTGGCCCCTGAGGGTGTGTACACAAGAGGGAGGTATCGTCTGCCCCGATGACACCATCTGGACTTGTAACTTTGGATCTGTGTGTTGTCAGTGGAACAGGTCACCTTTCCTGGTTACCTTTTTGTCAAATACCACGTAGTGTTGTCTGCCTTCCCCGGTCTCTATCCTGCCCCTTGCACAGCCTTGGCTGGCTGCAGCTCTTCCCTCTGCTGGGGTCTCTTAAATGATTAACTCCCCTCCTTCATATACTCTTTGTTTGTGTTTTGTGGAGACTTTCTGTACTGTACAATTAATTATAAGCTAGTTTCTAGAAATTAAAAACATAGCACGTCAGTAGAATAAAGTGAAAACTTTGAGCACTAGTGGTTTTCTCTCTGGCCCGTGGTGTACTTGCCCAGAAAGCAGTTTTGTGGAGGAGGATATTTGTTATGTGGCTGTGACGCTCACTGGCACTTGATATTTTTAGAGACTTTTTTTTTTAGCAAAATAAATTCAAAATTAAACAGCATCCTTTTCTGCTCCTTGTATGGCTGCATCCTGCTGTCCTTCGGGAGGTATCTTCTGGAGCTGATGTAGTAAACTGGTGATGGAGCAGATGCCTGTGAGAGTACAAATGACTTGGAAAGGTTAGCGCTGGAATAGCGGAGTATTGAAACTGGTAACTCGTGCAGCATTTAAATGAGAACCAAATCCTATAAATAAAATGAAAGTGAGTTGGCAGCTTCCTTGAAGGCAAGAAAAGCGAGCCTTCTGTAGAAGGAGGACAGACCCGCCTAGTGCTCCCTTTGGCAGAGGAGGATGTTAGCCAGACTGGCTTCGCATCGACCGAAAAACCATGTAGGTCCAGCTCTGGCATCGTTGGCAAGAATTGGTGCGTGGGGGAGGTACCAGGCGGGACTGACTGGAAGGGACTGACTTTCTGCGAGCTCTGTGGGCTGTCCGTGGTTTGAGCAGGAGCAGAGGGTGCTGGCAGGGCTCTGGGGTGGGTGCTGCTGCCGTGGGCTCTGGGTGCTCAGCCTTGGCCCTGACTCCACACCAGTTGTGTCCAGCAGCCCTGACCCCTGCAGCTTTGCAGAGCTGTCTTGCTTTTGAGTATTTCCAGGGTTACCAGGGTTTTTTAGGTGAAATCTAAGAACTTGTTAATGCTTGTTTAAGCTCCCTTTGTCATTATAACCCGAAATGCTGGTATAAACTTCATTTGTAATCTGTCTCTCCTTCTTAGCTCGCTGTCCTGTAATTAATACCCTGCTTAAAATCAGCTTTCTTAACCTCATTACCTTTCTCCTTTCCTCTGACGTAGTTAGTAGGGCTTTTTTTTCCCCTAAAATGTGCAGATTTTGCCTTTTGTCTCTAGCTGCCAACTCCAGACAGAGTTTAGTAGGAAAATCTGCATCACGTTGGCATAGCAACCGTGCTGCCAAGCAGCTCTGATAGTGATGCTCGGCAACTCGTGGGAAGGACTCCAGAGGATCTTAAGGCTTGGGGGAGCAAACCTGAGTGACATTAGTTCACTTTCTACCTGGGGCTGGGTGGGAGCTGCTTGAGGACGTTTGCTTCTGGCCGGCGGTGTGTAGTGTTGGGCTGCTGCCGGCCGGGAGGCTGGACGTGCTGGGAAGGCTGAGGTGTGCTCTTGGCGTCCATGTAGTGAGCTGCTGCAGCTGATCTTTAAGAGGATCTGGAGTTGCTGAGAAGATCCTGTTTTTCGTGTGGAGAGACGTCAGCAGGGAGTAGGTTAAGCCTGGTTAGGTAACGGCGGCAGTAGTGCCCCGGTGGGTGAGATGCCTGGGGGAGGGCGTAGGAAACTGTTGTAGGTCGCGATTGTCGAGGGTTGCTGTGAGTCGTGATCTATTAAGCTTTTTTTTTTTTTTAAAAAAAAAATCCTTGAAATAACCCCCCAGATTAAATATTCTCAACTGGTGTGGTTGACAGGCAGCTCCACAAACAGCTTATTACAGACCTTGGCTTTTCTTTAAACCTAAAGAGCAAAACACCACGGAAAAGACGTCAAGGACCCTTGTGTGTTAGGATCTGAGGAGGGGAGTGCTTACTGGACTTTGCACTGGCCAAATGGTCTGTTTATCCAGAGCAAACACAAGAAAATGTTGCTGTGTCTGCAGTGGTGGGGAAAGCTGTTAGCTGGGCTGGCTTAAACCAGTACAGCAAACACGGTCTGTTCCTTCAAGTGCAGGCAGGATCGTAGGGTTTTGGTTATCGGCTGTGGGGTTTTCAATCATCGTTGTATGGTAGCTTCTCTTCGGTGAGTATCAAGGCCATCACTTTTTCTAAAAATTCCTGTTAGCAATTAGTAATTCTGCACCGAGCAGTATTGGTTCCCTGCCGCAGTTCTTTGGTGCTCTCGCTGGTGTTAGCCCGTACATCAAACTCCATTAAAGGCTCAGAAGCCTGTAATTATATCCACGTTAAACGATGTGTGCGCCACACGCCCTCTTCAGCCTGATTTGCTCTTGGTGGAAGCTCAGGAACTTCTGTACGAAGTGGTTAAATTCTAAATGGTAGAAACTGGAAAATGTTCTGCCCAGGCCACTTCTCATTATAGCACATACCTGACTGATGTTTAATTGTAGTTTGAAGAGGAGGAAAAACTATTAAGCTGGTGTAACTGCTGTGTGGATGCTTGGCTAGGAAGCTTTAGAACAGCTGGGCCTTATTTTAAAGCCTGCCCTGAATTTGTAGTGGTTTTCTGGGCATCGGGCACAAGAGCAAACCTGCTCCGCGGGCGTTACTGCTGCCTGCGCTAGTAACTCCGAGCGCTGCGGAGGCGAGAGGTCTTGATACGTGGGGGCTTCCTGCTCCTGGCTGGCACAAGTGTTTTTGGGACAACTTGTGACCAGAGACAATCAGCTCTGGCATAGCAAAACCACCTTATAAAAGGCTTTTATGCCAGCTGGATATTCTGAACATGTATGAAAGCAGTGAGGGGCTGGTGTCCTGGTCTTACTGCGTTCTGCAGGAAGAATTTTTGGGAAGGGGAAGACAGTGAGTTCTCCTGTGTTGTATGGCGGAAGACGTTACGATCAAGACTGATCCTTCCTGTGCTGCACATGTTGGTCCCCACAGAGGTGAAAACAGGATTGGAAAGGACTGACGGGAGGTAAGGAGCAGCAGGTGAGCGTCTTGGATGTTGGCCAAAGCCCCTTGGGTTAATAGACACACCCAGTAAGAGTTAACTTGTGGTGATCGTGATGTAAGTTCTGCGGGCTTAATGGGAGCCTGGTGTTGAGCAACGGGGAGGCAACTCACATGTCTCCTCCAATTTGATCGTCTTGCCGGCAGCTGGGTGGGGCTACACAGCCCCGGCTTC